CAGTACTGCTTGGGGCACATCTCCTCCTGTCCCGTTAACACGTACTTCTCTTCCCATCCATGTCCGCATGGGTTTTGCGTGTGAGGACACCATGCTTGTAGGTGACTGCGTTCAGCGCCTGCGGAATGTCCAGGAAGGGGTTGCTGCTGTCAACAATCCTTGTCACTTTCTTCGCACTGGCTCCGAATTTGTCATCTACCAGCTCCGAGAGTGATTTCCTCAACTCGTCCTCATCACTTGGAAACAAAGTCAGAGAAAAGATTGAGCAGAGGACTCACGGGCTGGGTCACACTGTGCCCTATCTGCTTTGGTTTTAAAGAGAGTTATTCGTTACAAGACTAGTGAGAGAAAGAAAAGTAAAGGAGATGCAGGCACTGTAACACAGAATGGTGGTGACTGGGACATAGCTGGGAGGAGCGTGGGTGGCATATAACTGTCCCAGTGGTCCCAGTGGTCCCCTTACTCAAAACGGGTAAGGGAATGCGTGCTTGTTGAACACCAGGCAACTGCAGACACACCATTGCTGAGGCTATGAGCATTTCGCAGGGACAGCCTCCAATTCTGTCCCCAAAAATCAGAGCTCAAGGAGGTCTTTTGCTGAAGACCAGGTATCACTGGGGTTTCTCAGCTGAGAAGCAGCCCCTGGGGCCTCCTAGATACTGGAGGGGTTTGAGGAATGTCCTCTGCATCTCTGAGGAGCAAAAAGCTCTGCAGACATTAGGGAGGTGGACCACTTGATCAAACAACCACAAACCCTGGAATAGGTTATACATCAGATCCCCATCTGTGTCCTCAGGGTGGCCCAGCAGAAAGCAAGAAATGCTGGTCATTTCCATAAAAACTGCTTCTCCTCACGGATCTCCTGGTCCTGGACTCTAGATAGCAAGGGCTGAGCAGCTTAGGGAAATGTCCACTGACTCCCCCACACCTGTCTCTTCCTGTTTGGAGTAAAACCTACTCTGGTGCATAGAAGCTAGAACTTGCATGGGAACTGGTATTTCCCCAGAGTGCCTGGGACATTAAGGAGGGAGAGTAAACGGGATTTCTGCGCTGTGTGATACATGCCAACGTCTAGATGGTAGGAGCAGTCACTCTGGGTTGCAGATTAGACTGGGACCAAACCTCAGCTGAGGAGTGACCCAGGGATGAATCCACTAGCTGGGATGTGAGGAGTAAAACATCACACTTCTCCATCTGCAGCGAGCAGATGGCCAAAGCATCAGACACCTCTTGGAAGAGAAGGATGATTTCTCAGCCCTCTGCACCCACAGGAGTCCTGAGGCTTAGACAGAGCCCAGGCACCATGCCTGGGTGGGGAGTTGGGTGGGTTCAGTTCCCTGAGCTGCACCAGAGGGACCCCTCTGAGCTCCTGCTTGCTGCTGGGATGATGGTCACACACGTGCCTGTCCGGTTGGATTTTGTGAGCAAGGGCATTGCACTCCCTGGGATGTGCAAGGACAGAAGGCAGAGGCAAGCAGGGAGAAGAAGGTCTTGCCTGTGCAAGGTCACGGCTCTAGTGCCACGTCTCTCAAAGAAATCCAGGTGCCCCACGGCAGGGAGCATCATGAGAGGTTTCTCGTGTTGCAGCCTGTCCGTCTGCAACCCAGCAGGACACACTGCAGCAAGGCAGGTCCCAGGCGTGGGGTGAACGAGGGGGTGCGAGGATCCAAGCAGGGTGGGAGGAGGAGGGCAGGAGGGGGGCTGGACCCCGGCTGCAGCGGGACCCCGCGGCG